TGGAACTCAACCCCATGTTGTTGGAGTGCCTTCAGTTCTGTTAAAAAACTGGACGTGTAATCATTAACGCTGTTTGGCTTTGCAACGATAAACGGCTCAAAGTTTTTCACACTACAAAGAATGGGCCAAATTTTTACATCGGATGATTTAGATAATCTACACTGAAATTTAGCAGCATCTCATTTTCTGTTGAAAAGAAATCGGGATACTGTGAGCACATTTTCAAAAGTCCCGTCTCCACACAAGTAGAGGAACTGGCCACCACATAGATCCCTGACTTCTATTTGAGGTGGAGTTCCTAACAGGGTTCTGGCATCTTTTGGCAGCCGGTGGCCATGTTTACGTAACACCAAGAGTAGCTCATCAACCGATGTGCGCATTGCCTTATTTTTTACAGAAATGTGAAATGTGTTCCTTTACTCCTCCTTGTGGACAAATCCAGTATTGCACCAACCCGCTTCGGCACGTAAACTCTCCTCATCCACGGCACGAACTTCTCCGGAAATCTCCGATCAGTCGTTCACCACGCTGCTTCCAGAGTCACGGTCACGGCACCATTGTAACAGTGTTGTCTCTGTGTTGTGTTGTTGTAAACTCAAGATGGACACCAAATCAAGCTGTCACAGTGTGGAGCAGGCAGACGATCAGGCAGAGTCCAGATTAACACGAAGATAATTTTAATTCCAAATAACAGGCAGAAGAAGGTAAACAGGTGCAACACAGGGTAACATTCAACATCGACCGACAAGGACAGAATGAAACAGAGGGAACTAAATACATGGAAGAATCAAACATAATGAGGTGAAGACAGGTGAAACAGATGAACAGGACGCTGAACGGGAGGCTGATGAGGGAGTGAGTTCAGGTGTGCAGACGAGAGGATCATGGGAAGTGTATTGCTGGAGACGCAGACAGGATGGTGCAGACGAAGGACTGTGACAGAACTCCCCCCTCCCGGGAGGCGTGACCTCACGCCGCATAACAGAGGACAGAGGGGGGATGAACTGGGGGCTTGGCGGGGCGTGGCCAGGGCGGAGCAGGCTGAGGGTCTTTTCTAGTGCTTTTTTTGCTAGTTTATCAGCAACTTCATTACCAGATACCCCAACATGTGCTGGTACCCAACAAAAATACACTACTATTCCAGCCTCTTTCAGTCTGTATAATGATAAATATATTTCCATTATCAAATCTTCTCTGTCTGATCTTGCATTTAATATACTAATTAAAGCTGAAGAAGAATCTGAACATATGACTATTTTATTTGGTCTGACTTGTTCAACCCACTGTAGTCCTATTATTATAGCTGTTAACTCTGCAGTGTACACGGACACCTCATCAGTCAACCTCAAACTAATCTGTTTTTTAAAGTGTGGAATAAACACTCCTACTCCAACCTTTTGACTGATAGGTTCCTTAGAACCATCTGTAAATATTTGTAATACTGTATAAAATGTGTTATTTAAAAAGGCATTAATCTCCTTTCCAATGTACTCTTCTTTGGACTTGTTTAATAAACTCAAAACTACAAGCGGTTCGGGGACTTTCCAAGGTGGAGTATCAGTAAGTGGTATATTGGGACAGAACATCTTATTGTCCATGTCCTTAGCCCATACTTTACTCTTCCATCCAAAACTGTGTCCTTCATCATATGAGTATTCCCAGCACTCCTCCAATACTTTGCGAGTAAGGTGATTATTTGCTGATTGTTGGAGATTTACCCAGTATGTAATTGCCAGTTTTTCCCTTCTAATATCTAGAGGCATCTCTCCCATTTCTACCCCAATTGCATCTACAGGGGATGTTTTAATTGCTCCACAACATAATCTTAATGCTTTAGATTGAATTATATCTAATTTTTTCATCAATGACTTTGATGCTGAACCATATACAATACATCCATAATCAAAACGAGAACGAATCAGTGCTTGATACATGCACAACAATGCACTACGGCTAGCTCCCCACTTGTGACTAGCAACCGTACGCATACAACTTAAGATTTTCTTACATTTTGACTCAATTTTACTTATATGACACTTCCATGTTAGTTTTTCATCAAACCATAATCCAAGATATTTAAAAACAGGTACACTTTCCAATGTTTGTTCATATAACTTCAGATTTAACTGTTCATTCCTCTTGTTCTTTGTGAATATCATATATTGTGTTTTAGATACTGAAAACTTTAGACCCCAGTCCAAAGACCATTTTTCCACTTCTTTAATTGACTCCTGTATACCTTTACCCACATTTTTAATATTACGGCCTCTCTTCCATAGTGCTCCGTCATCTGCATACAGAGCTAATCCTATTCCTGGTTTATTCACTTTATCAAAAACATCATTGATCATTAAATTAAACAATAATGGGCTAATTGCACAACCCTGTGGAGTTCCATTTAGAATATTATAAGGAGCTGATAATTCTTCCCCAATTTTCACCTGAAAGGTGCGTTCAAATAAAAATTCTAAAACCCAATTATAACATTTTCCACCTATTCCAATTTTATTCAGTTTAATTAGCAAACCTTCCCTCCACAAAGTGTCATAAGCCTTTTCTATATCAAAGAAGACTGCAATCATGTACTCTTTCATTATAAAAGCTTTTTTAATTTCATTTTCAAACAATACTAAAGCATCTGCTGTAGACCTGCTTTTCCTAAAACCACTTTGAAATTTTGACAGCAGTTCTCTTTTCTCTAAAATATAATTCATTCGTTTTACAATCATTTTTTCCATTACTTTACATAGAAGTAAGAGCGATAGGTCTATAATTACCAGATTTTGTTATATCTTTCCCAGGCTTAGCAAAAGGAAGCACAATTGCCGTTTTCCATTGCTTAGGAAGGATACCCTCATTCCATATATAATTATATAAATCCAGTAATATTTCTAATTCTTTTGGTGATAATTTCTTTAAAATTTGATAGCTTATCAAATCTTTTCCTGGTGTGGTACTCTTTGAATTATTAATTGCTGTTTTTAATTCAAAATAACTAAACTCATCATCCAAAATATTATTGAACTCTTGTTTTTTCTTGCAAACATCTCCATAGACATTCTTAATTTGCTGACGTCTTGTTAAAAATGTATCATCTGAATTGTCAATGCTATGAGCTTTAGCAAATGTTTGAGCCAATAAAGTAGCCTTATCTTTATCTGTGATAGCTACCTTCCCATTTTCCTCCAGGACAGGTATTTTTTTAAAACTATCAATTCCATTCATCTTTTTAATCATACGCCAGACTGCATTTATTTCAGTTTCTCTCCCAATCGTATCACAAAAGTTTTGCCATGCTGACCTTTTTGTACTTTTAATAATCTTTTTAACATAAGCCCTTTTTCTTTGATAATCTATGACTGCTTCTGGTGTGAGTGTTCTTTTTAAAAACTGAAATGCTTTATTCCTTTCTCTGATTGCTGCCCAGCACTCCTCTGACCACCATGGCACATTCTTTCTTGTTTTTATACCACTTGATAGAGGGATAGACTGAGAAGCTGCAAAATAAATGGCATTCACTACTTTGTTATATCTGTCATCAACACTACCCTCTACTGAGAGATCTTTGAACTGTTCTTCACATAACATTTGAAATTTTTCCCAATTTGCTTTCTTATATATCCATCTTACACCTGTCACAGTCTGTCGTCCTCACCTGTTTTGTCCCGTCATCTGCACCACACTTCCCCGGATCCTTTTGTTCCTCTCCCGGACTCACTCCCCCAATCAGCCACCTGTTCCTCGTCCTGTCTTCATCATTTTCACCTGTTTGCACTCCAATTAGCCTTATTCCTCTGTGTATTTAGTTCTGTCCCGTTTGATTCAGTTTTGTCGGTCAATGTTGAATGTTACGCTGTGTATCCCGTCTTCCAGCCTGTGTTTGAAATAAATGTCTCTTTACCGAGATTCTGTATCCCGCCTGTTCTTCTGCCTGAACCAGCAACCGTGACAGATTGACCGACCAAAAAAAAAAGCAACATGGACGCCGGGATTTTCCAGGGGATTCTCCACCCGACTCGGCGCCCCCGTTTGAGGCTCGTCCCCCGAAAGCCGGCGCTCACCGTCAGCCCTGCCGAGCCTGAACGCTCTTCACTGCTGGTTCCGTCCAGCTCTCCACACTCAAAAAAATGATTCATTGGATGAACTCAATTAAGTTGTGGGCAGGATTTCCATCCAATAAATATATGTAGTCCCAACTCAAATTGAGTACATCCATTCAACAGAATTTAAATGAGTTAGCCTAACTTATTTTTATCAAATTCTTACAACAATATATAATTGAGTTAGCCTTACTAACTTTTAGCAAATACAGCTGAAATAAAATAATTACATTAACTAAATGAAATTGATTTACATTTGTCCAACTCAAACTTACAAAATTATTAGAAAGGAACTTATTGTCAAAAATTAAATATATAAACCACTTTTATTTGATCCATTAACATACACATGAGACAAACTGTTTTTTTTGTTTTTTTTTAATTGAAATACATTTACATTTTAACTTTATTTACTTGGAGCCCATCCACTCAAAAATGATCACTTAAGTACAAACTATTCTACACATTGAAAATCAAACATGTATGTGCAGAGTTGGGAGACATGAAATGCTGTTTTCACAGATCAGCTGAAAGTGGGAATTCTCTTAATAAAAAAAAAAGTTTTAACGGGTATGCCTACTTGCATGATTTGTGATATCACAAATAATTTTGAATTCAAGTTTGATCCAATATTCAATTAATATTAATATGATGTAGAAACTTGAAGCTGTAAAGTGCACAATGCACATACACTGAACATGGGGGTTCATAGGAGACATCTTGTGTTCAGCAGGAAACTTTAGAAGTGTTCATATATATAAATTCTGGAAATGCTAATGAGGTAGTAATAAATTACCCTTTTAAGAATTTACATGTGAAAAGTATACTTTTTCTGATGAAAAAAAAAAAAAAAAACTTAAGTGAGAAAATATTGTTCCAAGCATCCTAACATGTCAGGAGAGCATATTTCGATAAAAAATATCAAATCAAGACATTTAACTTTTTTTACTTGATAAAACACAAGTATATTAACTTGAATGAACAGTATACTGGTAAACAATGAATGCCCAGCTATCCTAAACATCAACAATAAAGACACTATAGCTGGTTAGAATGCACTGCAAAAAAAACTGTATATGCAGTTGCTTGTCTTAAACGATCATTTACATAAAGGGAAAGAAAAAAGCAATAGGCTATGGCAAATTCCACACTACTGTACATTTACAGTAAAAAGAGCCTTGGTGGTTGTTGCAGGTGGTAACAAAAACAAGTGTTTGAGCACGGTTAAGACTAGCAAAATAAAATAAAAAAAATTTATCACAAAACATTCAAAGTCATTATAAACCGCAAGGAAGACATTTTACTGTAACTTAACGTAAATGTCACTTGCAACATAAAAAATACTTCTGGCTATTTGCAATAAAAGAAAAATTGTTAAGCTGTTTTTAGATCAATTTCAATCCATCTTGAGTCATGAAGTCAAATAAGTATAAGAGTCAAGAAATTATGATGGAGAGGTGAAATGGGCAAACTTTATGGGTGTAAACACTTGTCCAATCCCAAATAATCTGTCTTAAACCCTCAATCAAAGGAGATCATCACATGGTTTTGTCCTCTTATGCAAACAGATGTTTCAGATGTTGTAATTTGGCCACTAACAATCCAAGAGAGCGCATTTGAGCAGTTTTTAGATCAATTAGAATATCTCTCGACAGTCATGAAGTCAAATAAGTAGAGAGGAATAGTATGGAGGAGGTAGAGTGAAGAAATTATGATGGAGAGGTGAAATGGGCAAATTGTCTGGGTGTACACACTTGTCCAAGCCCAAGTAATCTGTCTTAAACCCTCCATCAATGGTTTTGTCCTCTTATGCAAACAGCTTGATTTTCAACTGTTGTGTCTTTGCATTCAGCTTGTGCCCATCCAAATTCATTATGATCTTCTGGAAAAACTCAAAGGTGTATTTGAGGTTGTCTGGAAAACTCAGATCAAGGGCATAAATGAGCCCAAAAAGCATTGCGAAGCCCATGATGACGCTGCCTAAGTTGCTCAGGACTTTGATGCCTTCAATTACAACTCCAACATCTTCAGGTTCTTGATTCCCATCGCTTCGGATTACATAAATGCCCATGACCGTGGTTGCTAGGTCCCTTTCTGCATCCTCGGTCGCCTGTTCCTGAACACCACAAAAACAGCAAGTGTTTAATAAAGATGGAAAGAGAAATAAGGGGACATAAATGCAGGGCTCCACAGGTGATGGCGATAGAAACAAAAATACATCTAAAAGCATGCGTCAACAGCACAACTTAACCCCTCAGGCCAACAGAACTCTAAACAACCTCCCCACGCCAAGCGCACACACTCACACTCACCCCTAAACTCAAAAACATGTACATCACTTGTCTACACCAGTACATAAGACCACCTCGGTAGGGCTCGGTCAATATAATTAGTGTGTCATGGGAAACGTAAAAGTGAGTAACAGTTCAACACTACTTGACAAACATATTGTGATGAATTTACCAGATATTCTTTGAAGAACGTGTCTGGATCTTCATTGAGGTAGATGATGAGGCATCTCAGGATACACTCCCTTTTGGTGTTGATGTCACACTGAAAAAGAAGGAGCAGGTTGTCTAATTAAGATCAGAGGGTAATTTCAGTCTAAACAGAATGCCTAACCCCTAAATGCCCCCAAAAAGCAAGTTGGAAGTTTTCTTGCATGTTTTACATTTGTGTTTGAGTGGATGTAAAAAAAAACATAATATTTGGATGAAAGCACTATACTAGTAGGCCATTTATCAAGTCTTTAAATAAGCAACTATGGACAATAAAACTACAATAGCCACGTTTCCACTGTCTGGCCAGGGCCGAGCCATGCTAGTGTGTGCCAGGGCTAGTCGCGTTTCCACGGTCACTTGCGTGGGCATACTCGGGGCCAAAGGCCATGATTCCTACAAATATATGCAACCAAAAATACGACCTGAAGAGCTTTAGCACTCTCTCGACTATCATGAAATAAACTAATAACTAAAAATAACCTTTTTTTTCCCGGGAGCTTCCTCTTTTTCTCTGACTGAAAATATCTGTAGCCTACTGGGAGTCGACAGAGTGCTAAAGCTCCTCAGGTCAAATTTTTGGTTGCTTATACTTGTAGGAATTATCATTATTTCTAAATGTGTAAATATGTCCCGTCACTACCAAATAAACAGACACAACTGAAGTAGAAAGTGTCCTCTTTCTTTTGTGAAACCTAACGGTAACATGTTTATGTGTGACTAATGTGCAGTTTTGACAAAATTTGACAGTTTTGACCTGGCATTTGACATTGGGTTTTAAATATTCAAGGAAACAACAAATATGTCAGCAACCGGTCGCTTTTATCATGTTTGTTTTGCAATGCACAATATCTCCAGTGATTTCTTTCTTATTAGTTTTCTGATAAAACTTCTATTACTGTATTTTCCGCACTATAAGGCGCACATGATTATAAGGAGCACCTTCAATGAATGACCTATTTTAGAACATTTTTCATATATAGGGCGCACCGGATTATATATATTATTTATACCGGATAAGGCGCATAAGATACTGCAGTTAAACGTTTGACTGGGTTTGCGTTATGCATCCACTAGATGTGCTAAAGGTAATGTAGCGAGTGCGCGCCGCCGGAGGTGAGGCATTTATTAGTAAGCATGAGCGCTCGGGGGCTGGCACGTAACTAACATTCGCGGCCTGACTCATATGAGTTTTCATGTGCGGTGTCTCGCAGACAGCAACAGCTGGCTGATTTGAATGAAACGACCCGGTTACTGTGAACGGGGAGCGCTTTATGAACGTTCTGTGACGCGCGAGCAGCGCCGGGGACAGTGTGTCTGTAGGTTAGAGTGAGCGAGTTTGCGGGCAAATTTAATAACGTGGAGCGTTATTAACCAATTGATCCATATATAAGGTGCTCCGGATTAGGGTGCAGTGTCGTTTTAAGAGATAATGAAAGGCTTTTAAGTGCGCCGCATAGTGCGGAAAATACGGTAGTTGGAGAAATGATGGTTAGTGTGACGTCGTTCCAGAGAGACATGTTATGGGAATCTTTTAGTGAAGGACAGCGGAGCTTTTGGCACGAGAGTGGAAACGCAGACCAGTAGCTATTAGCCCGGCACGGCCCGTTTAAAGTCCTGGCCCGACAGTGGAAACATGTCAATATTAACCACCACAATACATGCAAAGGGATGTTAGATGTATTTTGACATACCGAATCTGTGATAGAGAGGACTTCCTTAATCTTCTGCCCCTTCACTCCTCCTCTGCTCTTGAAGATCTGCATCAGCTTGTTTGAGAAGTGGTCCAGCTGTGACATGAACTTTGACTGCAGGGGCTTGGTGGTGATCCTCATAAACTCTGCATTTACCTGAAAATAAATGTTTGATTTTACATAGAACAGTCTGAATGTGCGGGTGTGGTAGAAGAAAACAAGCACCAGCAACGCCGGTGTTTGTGCTGAGTTGTGCATGGCTGTGTGCACCTTGCAGGATGTTCCAATCATTTATCACCATTGATGAACCACAAAGATTATTAAATCATTTTTAAAAACAAGCCTAGTGAGAAAAGACCCACAAGGAACCGTGACATGCACAACTCAGCACAAGACTGGTGAATGGCAGGTGAGCAGAGAGAAAATGGTTAACAATAATCCTCAGTTCAACTGTAAATGTACAGTGACAAGAGAATAGACTGCAGCTCTGCAGCTTCTCAAGATTATACACACACACACACACGATTCGATGATCTATCGAGTATAGGCCAGATTTGACAATTCTGATTCAACTATGTAAACCTTTAGCACTAGTAAATACAATTGTGCAGAAAGTTACAATGGATAAGAAAAAAATCATGTACACATTTACTTACTTCACTTTCCTGGAATAAGGCAGGCCATCTGTTTATGAAATCTTCTATCAGGGGCCTCTGCTCCACAATCTCTAGTCGTCTGTGGGAGAAGGTTTTTCCCATTTTTTCTTTTATCACTACTTCATTGTCACGCTTTTTCAGCTCTGACAATAAAGAAATTCTCTCATTCTCCAAGCTTTCTGTGGTCTCGCCTTTTGGGTGCAAAGGAATATAGTTAACTTCAGCCTTTCTAGGCTTCTTGATGTTGGCTGCAGCTTTACCGTGGCCCTCTCGTTTGTGTTTCAAAGAGTTCACACGGATTTCAGGATGTCCAAGTCGGCCAAGTTTCGTACGGAAGTTTTGCATTTTATACTTAAGCGACTGTTTCCATCCCCAAAATCCTGTCTTGGATCCCAGCTGCCCCAGACATGGATGGGCCCTTGTCAAAGCTGCTGCTACCTCTTCACACTGATAGTCTTTTGGATACTTTGTGTATTTCATCATTTCTTGCGCAAGACCATCAAGGATGACCCCTTTTAGCTTTGGGCCAGGGTTGAAGCATGTTCCATTGGTCTCAAACTCTGTGTTTTTCTGTTGTAGTTCAAATTCAGCTTCATAGGTGAATTTAGGGACTAGAAAAACCGTTGGCCAGGAGGCCAATCGTGAGGACAGAGTTTCTGGGGATGAATGCGGTGTTGATGTGTACAGCGTATCGTCACTGCAGGATGATTGGCTATTGGCTACTGAGGAAACAGGAGTTTCAGGCTCTGAGCAAGTGTTTGCCGAAGTCTCACCAAAAGAGTCTACTGTGTACAAAGTGATGCAGGGCTCCACAGGTGAAAAGATGGGATTACTGATTATTTTCAGTGTGCTTTTGTTTTGAATGTCAGACACTGAAGTTAGATTGATGAACTCATTAAAATCACAATCCATGTACTGCATCCGGAAATCCTCTTTCAATTGAAAGAAAGTCTTTATTAGTACATGTAGTTCTTCCACTGATACCGGAATTCCATGAGGTAAGTGCAGTTTTCTAGAGTCAGACGCGTCACCAAAAATGATCCGCAGGACAGCCGGACATGCCATTGTGGAACACCTTTAATCTAGAGCAGGAAAAATGGAGGAGGTCAAAAAACAATAAATTAGTTATATTTGTGATTAAAAAAAATTACAAAAAACAGTTTGAGATAATAAGTCTGGCATCAAGAGCTCATACTATTTTTGTTTGAAAAAAAAAATGACACTAACCTTTAACAATGATGAATCTTTTTAACATTACCATACGCAAACCCTGAACCGTATATTCAACAAGGGGATAAAGGTCCACCAAGTCATTAAGTTCAATTAGGGCAACCTCTCTAGTGGGTGATGCAGACAGCTCAAAACCCCCATAATGCTCCCTATACCAAGCGCATACATCTTTCACTAGAAAACACAACTTCTCCTTCAGAACGCACAGCTGAATGATCTTATTAAATTTAGGCAGTCCATCTACAGATCCATGAACAATAAGCATCCCCTCACTGTAATGTATACCACTGGCAGACACATTTTTTACTATGTGAACTTCAGTCACATCTGGGTATCTCTGGTTCAGAGTAGACACCACTCCTTCACTAAGGACATCAACAGGCATGATTGAGACATCTGTGACCTCTAACAGTGATTTCTTGAGACTGGAGGAATGTGTGTGGTAGGCAAGCATGAACTGGTGTTTAATAGCTAGTGAACGAGTTATTTTCTTAAAGCAATTCGTATGACGTGCGACCTGCTTGAAGAAGCTATGTTTAGCCTCAAATCTCATAGTCCACAAAGCAATTAGAGGTCCAAAGCATCGAATCATTTGTGGATAATGCTCTAAATAGTGATGCTTTGGTAGGAGCTTGATGTCTGGAAAGAGTTCAATATAGCGGAGTCTGTGATCATATATTCTGGCTTCAAGATATGCAAGAGTTTCATCTGTATGAACAGGAGCCACAACCAACTCAACTATGTCCTTAAGATCGATAATTACTTGCCATGCTGGCTCACCTTCTGGCAAAATGTGTCCAATCAATAAGGGAAGAAATCTGAGTAAGGCCCAATTTTCATGTGCATTGCCCCCTATAGTGTTGCTAGTTTTGAATAAGCGTGATATTGGATGGGGGCGATTGGTTTTGTCCCCCCATTTGTATGGAAATGTCTGTATCAATTTGTTAAGGCCCTCAAGAGTGAAGTATTTTTTGGAAATCAACAAATTGATACAGCGTGCTAGTTCAACGGGAACAACACCCTCAAAGAGGTCGTGCACAATATCCGGAGGATAGCCAGTGCTTACATGAAAATGAGAAAGATGGTCTGTTAAAACACACTGTTTTTTGACACCACAGCAAATAATTGCATTTTCCTGAGCAGACTGGACATGAACATCATGGAGGTCTCTGGTCCTGAGTGTGAAACCAACTGATTGTACATCTTTAGTCTGAAACTCTGATTTGTCTCCAGTGCAAAACCTGCATATGGAGCCACCAGAAAAACTCTCAACAAATCCACCTATTCCGTGGGCTCCAAGATTGTCAGCACTTACACACTGAACAGTACCTTTAACAAACTGACCAAGCTGAGAAACAAAGACACCATGCTGTTCTAATGTACCCAAATCTTGCAAGAGAGGCTCTAAAACTTTCGTATAGCCATAGGCCTTCACATCATCTGATTTGCATAAAACGGCCAAATAGATTGAGTTTAGTGTTGAATGGGAACCTGGTGGCAAATTACCTAAAACCCAGTAGACACCACAGAGCTTGTGTTTTTTTCGAGATGTCCCAAGAGGGTTACAAATCTCAAAATCATCCACATAAAGATTTACTGCTATTCTCAAACCTTCCTCAGACAGAAAAGGATTTTGTTTATAGTACTCACCATCTCTTATGGTTCTGTACTCTTTTTGACCAGATAATAGCTGGTTTTGTTGAGTTTTAAGGTGTTCAAGGACAGCTTGATGAGAGAGCAAATTTTGCAAAGACTGTAATATAGGGATGTATTGAAATGTCCTATTCCTCTGGGCATCTAATATATACTCAATTGGCTCTAACACACCAAAATGAGAGGTATAGTACTGTGCACGTTTATACGCAGTAGCAAGAGGGCCATCCTTTGCAATAGCTATTCCCAAAGGATTGGATTTGCATAGAGCAGTTGAAACCTCATCCACTACTGACTCTTCAACTTGTAATTTATGACTCTGGAATACATCCGAAACAACAGATTTGATGACAGGCAAAGATGCTGTACTTAAAATGTAGTGTAGTTCAGAAAGGACCTCGTCAATAACCACCTTTGGAATGTGAACAATGTTTTCTAATTTTAATAAAATGCAACCAATTTTCTCGTCAATAAAGTTTGGCTGGAACAATTCTGCAGCATCACCACAACTTAATGTTTCATTTTCATTATCTGCATCCTCAGACTCTGTAGGCTCATCTGCACTATTAATTGATTGACATAACTGACTTGTACTGATGACATTGGCTTTAAAATCTTTCAATGAATGTTGGTTGTGTTTCCTGTTTTTGTGTGTGTTGAATGTACTGTAAACATTAGTTTTAAATGTGCATCCTACAAACATACAAGGAACCGTTTCATCATGCCTGAGATGTCCATTTATGTGTTGGAAAAAAGCTCTTTCAGTTGCTAATTCTCTGCATGAGCACACGTGACACTGGAATATAGACCCTTCTACTGGGTTTGGACCTTGAGTTTTTCCGTGACTTTTGTAGGTGTGATTTAATAGCTTACTCCATGTATTAAAGGTACAGGGGCAATCGGTGTATGGACATGGATAGCGATAACTGCCCCTTAAGTGCCCATGAACCTGCCTAAAATGTTGCAGTAACAAATACCTGCTAGCTAATTGGAGACTGCAGTCTTTGCACTGCCACATTCATCATCCTAAAAAGGAGAATAAAGACAATTAGCACATATCACATGACAATGATGCAAATCAGTTTTTGCTAGCATTGAACAAGTAATGTTAGTCTTATACCTACCATTAATAGGAGGTTGCCACAAACTGCTTTTCAACATAAAAGATGCAGCTGCAAAAGATGAGATGCATGTATTAGAGGTGTGAACAATGGAGGAAATACTCAGGTGATGTAACCAAATAAAAGTAATTATTAATTAGTCAAACACGTTAGTACAATAATATTGTAGGTTGAAGTAGAGCACATATTAAAATGAAGGATTTTTAAGTTAACATGCACTACAGATACAGATTTAACTGTGACTTTAAAAAAAATCTTTTATTCATCTTTTATTAATCTAAAAATCTAAAATTAAATAAAACAATTTTTCCTAAAGTAAAACAGTCTTTTTAATTAATGATATGCATTCTTTAGAACTACATGGATAGATTCTTTCAAGCAGACATATTTATTTATATAAAAATTAAATATAATTTATCTTTATTAAAGCTATTAACAGTGAATGCTTTTCTCTTTTTCTTTTGTTGCTTGATCAAAATTAAGGACACAGACCACATTTGGTTTATTACCCACTGTCACTTTAAGACATCGGATTGCACTGATGCACATCCCATACACTCACAACCGTTTAAGACATAAGCAACGTAAGTTAGTTTACCAGAATACTCTCCAAACCGGATATTTAGAAATAATGTTTTATTTATTTGTCCATTCAGAACAAAAGAGAGCTCAGTTAAGGACTCGCGCGCTGAGAGTGCACCAAGAAAACCGCAATAAATAAAGCTCTTTTTGCATCGTCACTCTTATTCAGATCTATAACGTTATGTCTGCTCTACTCATTATCCCAGACGTTTACACTTTTTAAAGCTTTATGAGACCGCGGGGTAGATCAGCACGTTACAGTACACATGTGCGCATCTAGCACAGACGCAGGACATCAGACTGAATCGCTTCCCAAATAACTTTAGTCAATATTTAACATTTTCGTCTACTTTTATTAAGAGATAGTTGATGAAAATATCAATAAATTATCGTCATAGTTTGTCATTCAAAACTAGGTTTTATTTAGTTATCGTCTCGGTTTCGTCTGTGAAAAAAAATGTCGTTGACGAAAATAATGACAAATAGGTTTAACACTGGCCGCCATTAATGACACATGGCAGAAAAAAAAACGCAGCTAACATTTGCTATCGCAGCAGCTAAAACACAGCTATCGCAGTGTAACGTCAGCCCGGTCTCGGCAGGCCGCCAAAACTAGTCCACCCACAGCCTAATTGCATAAATGCCGAACGAGCCATGGATATTTAATGTTAAACTACCGTTAACGTTATGATATTGACCGCTTCAGTCCCTGATGGCTGTAACTTAACCGCTTTTCGTCGCCATTTTAGACACACACACAACAGAAATTCGGCATCTCTTATTTTACTTTTATTTGTTTATAGGGCATTTTGCCCGGTCCAAAATTGCGGCGACGAAGTGCAACACAAGTTAACCAAAGCAGTCAAAGAGACTAACGTTAAAAGTATAAAAGTAGCACTAGCTAACCACTATAAGTTAACCTTAGCCAGCCAACTCCATGAGCCAACTCCCTTCAAATTTGAAGAGTGAAATAACTGTAACACACATTTCTGTCAATATTCCCGTATTAACGATATTTGACAGCAATATACTTTCTAATCAGCTAAAACAAATGAATACTTACCAAGGAGTAGATATTCGCCTTTTATGTCTCATCCACCAAACGTTGCTTCGGCGTTGCACCCAGAGTAATGGAGAGATGGGAGAAAAGAGCGCGCTGCCACGCACATGCGCAAAGGGCGGTCCCGTATGACTCTTTTTTTTGGCGATCCAACGTAAATCAATCTCATAGGTGGAGCTATTAATACATTTTTATTTAAACCACTTAAATATATATACATTTGATCTTAAATAGATATATTTAAATAAAGCAAATTGTTTTTAAATGTGTCACCTCTAAGAAGGCCTTGAATCATTTTTTTGAGTGTGTTAGTAATTTCTGATTAGGGTTATTACTGAACTAGTAGAGTTTCTCTCTCTTAATATATTTATTTACTTGTCTACTATATTTGTAGAGTTGTCTCCTTTCAAGAGGAATGTGCTTAAACTTCTCATGGAAGTTAAGGCAGAGCTAAAAGAGCAGAGAGCAATGATACAAAACTTACAGGGAGTGCCTGCTGTACCTGATCAGGAAATAAGATGTGGCTTGCAGTTACCTTTACAATCTCTTGAAGATTTTGAGGAATTGGAGAGGTTGGATGAGACCGAAAAAAATAGATTGGTATGTCTTGTAATGCAATTATATTTAACCGGGTTCCTACGCAGTTTGGAAAAATATGGAATTTTATTTAATTTCCAGGTCTTGATAAGTATGGAAAAAATAACATAAAGATTACTGAAAAATATTTATGGTTCTAAACGATTGCCCCATTCAGTTTTCATCAAAACGGCGGTCAAGACGTTACAAGACGCAAACACAGGATTACTCCAGCAACAAAACCAAAAACCAAAGACGCTCGTCTTGAAAATCGGACTTGGTGTCCGCTCAGTGTGCAGTTTATCAAAAACCTGGTCTAAAGGAGAGCACAATGCCGAAACCGTCAAAAATAGAGAACAAGCAGGTAGATTTGGCAATGGAGGAGGAGTACGTTAGCCTAAGTAGAGTCATTGGGCTAATGGATCAACAAAAGGATATGTTCAAGGAACTACTTCAGCAGCAACAGGAGATTTTCAAAGGATTTATAAAAATGACGATGGAAGCTACAAACACCCGTATGGATGCAATGTTAAGGGACATTCAAGATCTCAAAACAAGCTTAAAGTTCACGCAAGGTGAGGTGGACAATCTCAAGGAAGAGAATGCAAAACTAACTGAACGCAACAATACATTACAATTAGTGATGTGACGTTTGAACCGAGGCCTCGGAGCTTGTGTCGAGAAAAAATGGGCGTGCCAGATGAAGCCGCGATTCGAGGCTTGTGTTGTTACCGTGAAAATCACGTGACTGATGACAAACGAGGCCTCGGTTTGTGTAAAAACGTCATCGGTTCGGTCTGCGGTTCGGCTCGCGCCACCCTGTGGCTGTTTCATGAGCAGAATAAGAAGTTGTAGTAGCGTCAGAGTCAGAGAAATCTCATTATCGTTATTGTGTCATATATGTGCTAGGGCTGTATATTACTACACTAGTCTATATCAGGTTAGAATAGTTATTGGGGGATTCTCCAACTAGGAGCACTTTTGGCACTGTGAGTTTTTGGAAAATTCACTTTCTTAAAACACACTTAAAACAATCTTCCTAGCTTAATTAATTTGTCTTCTAACACAATATAATAGTGGGCAGTTTTAGAATTCCATGGAATATTATTATTTTTAACAGTTTTTCTGAAGAGCGATTTCAAAGATGTCATTTCCACCACTTTTCAATTTATGTATTTTATTACAATATAATATTGTAAAACTGATTATATAAGATTATGTATCAGTCAACAACATCAGTGGCTACCTAATCATGTTACAAAATAAATCTTAATACTTCATGAATTTAATACATTTCCATTTAAAGTTGTTAAATGCCACGAGTTGCCACGAGTTGGGATTTTTTGCCTACAGCATTTCATTTTTGCTCAGGTCTATGATTATTTTTTAAAGTCACTCACACATTTATTGTAAGTAATGAACTATTAATACTTGATTTAAAATACATTTAGATCCACATAATTTGTTATTCTTATGTTTTTACTTAAAAACTGTGTAGTGGTGGAAAGTGGTGGAAATGACGGTTAATGATGGAAAGATTGTTTCTGTTAATTTTTACATAAATTGCCAGTCCAAAATATTTTTAACCTTGTATTTTATTATTTAACAGGTATAAATTGAAATAATAATTAATATTTGTCATAATCAATTATAGTAACTATATTATAGTCTTGTTATATTAATTAGACAAGATTATTTCGATTGCTTTGGATTTTTGGTTCTGGACTGGACTGCTTTTTGATTTGGATTGCCCTTTTGGATTTTTTTTTTTTTATGACATCTTCCTTTTCATGGTAATGGAGCCAACAAGAAAGAGGAAATCCAACCCGGTCTGGGCTAAGCATCAGCATCTTCATTTTTACCCGCTGACACACTGACGTCCTCTGTTCCTTGTGAAATGATATTTTTCCAAGGGTGGAGAGGTTTTGTCCAAGAAGAGGAATTGTCTAAACCCCAACACAGTTAAAAGAATTAATTTTCTCAAAAAAAAAAAAAAAATCTGTAACCCTTTCCTTCATCACTGCAGTTTGCTTACTTTATTACACTCCCTCGAGTCACTCCACCATAAGCACTGCACTCAACACCTGTCACTTTTTTTGTTCATACTGTCACTCCATTTAAAAAAAAATATAATAATAATTGTGTGTGTGACACTTACAGTCTATGGTGTGACAGTTGTCTCTGTACAAAATGCAGACAGAGAAAGATACACGTTTTATTTAATATCCAGGCAATGGACAAAAGTTTGCACAGATCTCTTTATTATTGCAAATGAAAGGTTACAGAGACATTAACAGTGAGAAGAAGATAAATAAAACAAAGCGGGAGGGGGCGGGTCATGGGTTCAGAATGATTTAATTTGTCTGCTATTTCTTTGCACGGTAGCTAGGTGTCACTAGTGAGCAATGATGAATGAAGCTTCGAGTAATGAACCTTTGGGTGAAGCAATGGGCTGCGAGGTCTCAGTGGTTCAGGAAGCCTCATTTTGCCATCACTAATTACAATCTGACGTTTATAAAGTTTGCGACAGTATGCTCATCATCAACGATAAAATGGAGTACCTGGAAGGGCAGAGCCGCAGAAACAACTTGGTCTTTGAGGGAGTAAAGGAATTGCCGGGGGAGACTTGGGCCGACGCGGAGGATATAGTGAAACAACTGTTGACGGAGAAGCTCCAGCTGCAGCACACGGTGGAGGTGGAAAGGGCCCATCGCGTGGGGAAACCGGACGGCGGAAGGGACCGCCCGAGACCCATTGTCGTCAAGCTTCTGCGTTGGAAGGATCGAGAAACTGTTTTGCTGCGCGCAAAACGCCTCAAACGATCAAAAATTTTCATAAACGAGGATTATACGGACTTGGTTAAAAAGAAGC